GCTGAAGTTGAAAGCAGCCAGAGGCATTTGCAGTACGTTTTCTTCTTTGGTTGGTTCCTCTCCCTTCCCCCTCCCTCAGCCAGGCTGTCCTTCAGCTGGGAGAATGCGCCGGGCTCTCATTAGTGGGTTAAAAAAATAAGGCTTATTAAAAGCGACAGCTAGTGGAGAAATGAACTGTTAGCTTGTTTCCTTTGGAAAACCGAGCAGCATAGAAAACACCTATGTCTGAGCTTGTCAGAAGCAGATGGGGGAAGGAAGAAATGCATTCCAACTGGGTAATAAACAGACAGGGAGGCGAGGGGTAGAAACCTTGGTAGATCCTTTGTGTTTCCATCCAAACAAAGCCGGGGAACAAAATCTATTTCATGAGTAATCGTCCATTGAAGGGAAGGTGCCAAGAGTAGAAGAGCAAGGACTGAGGGGGGGACAGGGCAGTTTATTTAATGGCTGTTTTGTTCAGTGTTTGTACAGCACCAAGCACAATAGGGTCCTGTTCTACGACAGGGGCTGCTAGGCGCTACCATGACTCAAATAAATAATGAGAGGTACTTTATCTTCATTCTCCCCAAGCTTTAAATCCTTACCCCAAGGGAAGTCAATGGGAGCTCTTTCTGCATGCTCCAGCCCTCTCAGATTAGCTCAGCCCTCTGTCATTTTGCCTCCTGCTGTGTTTGGCTCCTGCTTCCAGATTTGCAGAAGGGATGGCTCCCCAGCCGATGCTTCCAGCTCCCCACGACGAGCTGCAGTATGTGCAAAGCGCTCGTGCTGCAGCTGTAGCCATGGAGCCTTCAGATGAATGCGAGCAATATTCTGCAGAAGCAGCCAGCCTCCAGACACGTTCCTGCCTCGGCAGAGTAGATTTCCGCAGATGTCCTTCTGCACTGCGCTTGCTGTTGTTTTATCCTCTGCCGTGGTGCGGTTTTCCTCCCTCTGCTGCTTTGTGGGGTCTATACGTGCTTGAGAAACAATGGTTTATTTTACAGCCCCTCCCTGATCACTGCTTCCTCTGAAGCGTGTTCAGTCTCTCTGGGGCTTTCATAAGGAAGGAAATAAGGGTGAAATACCGACCCCAAGCCCCACCCCCGCCATCCCAGCCACCCACATGCCAAGCCTGAATAAAAGGAGATGTGTACACAGAGTTTGAGCAAGGGCCAGGATCCTTCTGTTGTGGGCTAGGAAGGGAGAGAACATGTTGCAGAGAAAGACAAAGTAGGGGAATGAAGAGGATGAGGCAGGAGGGAAAGAAGGGTGAGTTGTTCAAGGCAATTCAATCCAATTCTCTCCTACATTGACATCTCCCCAATGTTCTGGCTTGTTCCAGCCTCAGTTCTAGAATAGATCAGAGCAGCTCCTGGGCTGATCTAACTTATGATAGCTGGGAACGGTCCCCAAAGGACTGCCCGCTAGTTGAGAATTGGCAATGCACATCGATACTCTGGTTATGCCCTCTCCTGCTCCCATCATTCTCTGTCCTATCCCCGACACCCAGGGATTAGTGGGGATGGAGCAGGAGTTGCTTAGATCAACTGTTCAGCAATTGACATGTTCCCCTTGCTGAGGAAATGCTCATCGGGCCAGGTGCAGTAAGCATCTGGCCCCTGTGCACTGCCAGCATTGGAACAAATGAGCTGGAGCACATGAGAGAGGTTGGCCCATGACTCTGGGACAGGACATTTTATAATCTAAGGTAGTGGTGCGCAACCTTTTCCCCGGTGGGACCCCTAGGAAAATTTTGGTTGAGAGAAAAAAAAAAGCGTGGCCCCTTTAAATGCCACTCTGATCACCTGCCACTCCCTCCACCCCCACCACGTGTATGCCGAGCTGGGAAAAAAATGGCAACCCCCCCGAAGACAGTTGCGACCCCCAAGGGGGTCA